CTTGCATGTTCGTCGAGGACTTGTTTGAACAGGCCAAACCAATGAGACCATATATCAATTTGACAATTTGAGTGTAAAAAATAACAGATTTGAGGTCATGTTCTCACGGAATTGAAACCTTTTGCAATTTTTCCACCATCTTTGCCAAGCTAGAATTGAATACTATGAACAGAAGAAAACTGGTAATCTTGGAAAATGGTAGCATGGCTTCTTGGTACTACACCTATTTCACCTACTAACCAATAAGAAAAGGACGAAGAAATGAATGAATAGATAATAAACTCATTATCGCCCCGTAGTATTGTAGGATAGGAAATATTTAAGTGAAATGAAATTGAAAAATATGTTTTAATGTCACATTGGGCTTAGTCTCCCTCGCAGCCGTTTTTAGTCTCGTCACCCAACGCTCCTTCCCACAAACGGCTGCTCACATTCTATCAACATTCCTTTCCGCTATTCAACCAATCACCATTTGGGTTACATATGTTGAGAACCGTACGCGCGAAAGTAGTCTAACGAATCATATTGTTTATTTCATTTTGGAGTTCAAAGCTTTCAAAATGGCGTCCTTTCAAGAGGCGTTTGATGTTGTTAGCAATACATTTCGAATTCCTAGCTTAAATGCGCAGCAAAAAACTGGAATTAGGAAAATAGTTGAGGAAAGAAAGGATGTATTTGTCAATCTTCCGACTGGTTTCGGGAAATCTCTCCTGTATCAAGCACTACCACTCGTGTTTGATCTTACCTCGCAAGAGCCTGGTCATATCGTCGTCGTTGTCTCACCATTGGTAAGCCTTATGAACGACCAAGTGTCCCACTTAAAGGAGTTAGGGCTAAAAGCAGCTAACGTAAGTTCACTTGAGAATGGTGGACGCACTCGTGTTGAAAGCTGCGAATATCCCTTAGTTTACGGATCCCCTGAAGCGTGGTTGAAGAACGAACGTTGGAGATTTATGCTAACGAACTCTGTGTACTCCAAAAAACTCTGTGCCATTGCCGTGGATGAAGCGCATGTTGTAAGACAGTGGTAAGTGTTGGCAAGAGTACCATATAACCTCATACATTAATTATGCATTCAGACTAGTAGTTTTGTCGTGAAATACAAAGAAGTGGAATGCATAATTAATGTTTCAACCTATTAAAAACCTATGCTTGAAGCTAACGTCATTTGAAGAACTAAGTATTAAGTCCAATAGGACCTTGAAAGTCCTGGCAATGTGAAGGGAGCTAGAGACTACGGCTTTCTGCATGTTCCTTAGCACTGAAGGACATCATTATTATTTTTAAAATTAATAAAGTTTTCATTATTATATTATTAGAGATTTCATTATAGATTAATGCTATTTTCCTTTTGATGTGTAGGGGAACATCACAAGATAATAAAATGGCAGCATTCCTTGAGTCTTACTCAAAGCTGTATGAACTAAGGTCACTCGCACCAAACGTGCCAGTGGTAGCCTTGACTGCAACAGCGACAAAACTGACCAGAGACACAGTTTTCAACCTTCTGAACATGAAAAATGCTGTAGAAATTAAGGAAAGTCCAAATAAATTAAATGTTGCTTATGTTGTGCAGTATATGGATAAGGACATGGAACTGGAATTCTATTTTGGCTGGCTCACTGATGAACTGAAACAGAGTCAGGAGAAAACAGAAAGAAGTATTATTTATTGCCAGACTATAAGACAGTGTGGTTTACTTTATGCTGCCATTAAAGCTCTCTTAGGAGTATACATGTTCATTGGAAATGATTCAAAACACGTACTTGTTGAAATGTTGCATTCCTGCACTCCTGAAGGCAATAAGCATAACATTTTGGAGTCCTTTCAGTCTGCCAGTGGTACCATCCGGCTACTTATAGCAACAATAGCCTTTGGAATGGGCATTGATTGTCGAGGTGTTCATAGAGTCATACATTTTGGACCCTCCAAGAATGTGGAGTCCTACGTTCAGGAAACTGGTAGGGCAGGAAGGGATGGCCACCAAAGTGTTGCATATGTTTTATACCACGGAGTTATGTTAAACCATATTGATGCCCATATGAAGTCTTTCATTAAGACTGGAGAGTGCAGAAGAAAAAC